GATGAGATTCATAGAAGGAACAATGTTTGTGATCTTGGAAGCAGATCCTTCAAGCTTGTAATCTAGGCTGGTGACAAGGTTGGACTGTTCACTGAAGTATGATCATATTTCTGGATATGGACTTTCAAAACCATAGAGCAGATGTATGCACTCTGATCATACTACAAAGTCTGGTCCCCGCCCAAAGAAACAAGACTCTGAAAAAAAGTGTTATCTGAATTGAGGTAAATTTTAGCTATAAACACAGAATAGCCTTTATTATAATGTTTGAATGGGAATGATAGAGAGCTACGAATATGTACAAAAAGAGAGAGACAGAGACAGAGGGTACAAAAAAAGAGAGACAGAGAGAGAGAGAGAGAGAGATTGAAGATGGTATGGTTGGTGAAGAAGAGGGCAGAGTTTGTAGACGTGGTGTATTTGAATGAGATAATTGTGGATGTGAATGGCATTCAATCTTGAGGGAACATGAAGAAAGAAGCTGAGCTGAAGTGTTTGACAACATGGGGATGGTCCGTCTGGACCACTGTGTGTCAAGAGTCTTTGCTGCTTAGATGAATTGGTGCTGAATCCTCAGCAATATCCTTCTGGTCGGTATGGAGCTGTAAGTCTAGAGTGACAACAGCAGTGACATCATGGCACCACCATTTCCAGAAGACCTGGTGGGAGGAAGAATAGCAAAAGCCAGCATGAAGAAGGTGACTGGGGGTGCTTACATTAATCTTTTTGACTGGCATGCTGCTGGAAAGGGATTCAGGAAGGCAATTTGCAAGATTGAAAGTCTGAGAAAGGCCCAGCCTAGAGGGAGGAAGTTGTCGTTGGCAATTTGTGGAATAATATCAGGGATTCCATCAATTCCTATGATTTTGTAGCAGGCTGTAGTATGTGCGAGGAATAAGGAGTAAGGTTCGTGAGAGTGGCTTGCCAGATTGCTAGCCCTCTGGAATTTAGTTTTTGTGAGGTATTAATGTATTTATTTTTATGGGCAATCAGAAGGGAGGTTGGGCAGATTTTGGTGATAATAGGTCTAGAAGTATATGGCATTAGAGGCATCCCACTATGAAGAGGCCTGATTGTTGGTGACTTTGCTTCAAGTCTGATAAGGCTTTCTTCTTCTATGATAGGAATGAATAGATGAACCTGTGTATTATCAAAACCTGGTTGAGTGAGAGTAGGAATGTCACCCTACGGAAATCTTCTCTCCTGGTTTTGGGACCCTATGGCATCCTTTGACAGCAGGCCCTGGCAGGAGGGTAGTTAATGGTACTGTTCTAGAATAGGCTTAATGCTTATTTGGGCTGAACGGACTGAGTGGGAATCCATTTGATGTATTGGATGCTCTGCTGCCCAGCAGGGTCTCTTCCTGAGTTCCTCAACTTGCTCTCAGGCCTGATCCTGGAGTCCCCTCATCTTTTGATAGTGCCCTGTGGGTTGTGATGGGAAAGGTTGATGGCAACCATGGCTTTATGTCAAGTAATCTCTAGCTCTACATATACTGGCAGTTATAACAGTATAACAAGAGTTGGAAGGAAACCTGGGGGCCTTCTAGTCCAACCCTCTGTACAAGCAGGAGACACCTATACCATTCCAGACAAGTGACTGTCTAGTCTTTTCTTAAAAAGACTAGACAGTCACTCACGCCCTCGTCACTTCCTGTCTGGACTATTGTAACACTCTCTACATGGGGCTCCCCTTGAGGAGCACCCGGAGGCTCCAACTGGTCCAGAATGTGGCCGCGCGAGTAATAATGGGGGCGACCTGTCGCTCCCATGTAACACCCCTCTTGCGCGAGCTGCACTGGCTCCCGGTGGTCTTCCGGGTGCGCTTCAAGGTGTTGGTTACCATCTTTAAAGTGCTCCATGACTTAGGACCTGGCTATCTACAAGACTGCATTCTGCCACCGATTGCCTCCCACTGACTGGTACACTCACACAGAAAGGGCCTCCTCAGGGTGCCGTCAGCCAAACAATGTAGACTGGCGATCCCCAGGGGGAGAGCCTTCTCTGTGGGGCCCCTGCCCTCTGGAATGAATTACCCCCGGACATACGAAGGATCCCTGACCTCCGCGCCTCCCGTCGTGCAGTGAAGACCCTGTTATTCCAGCAAGCTCTGATGGGATAAATGATTTTAATGTGGTTTTAATGGGGTTTTAAAATTGGTTTTAAAATGAGAGTTTTAAATTCGGCCTATGATTTAATAATTTTAATCTGGTTTTAAATTCTATTTTTGTACATTGTTTTTATTATGGCTGTTCACTGAGTCCTGAGTCCTTCGGGAGAAGGGCGGTATATAAATTAAATTAAAAAAAAAAAGTTTCGTGGTGGAGCACCCACAACTTCTGATGGCAAGCCATTCCACTGGTTAATTGTTCATTGTTAGGAAATTTCTTAGTTCTAGGTTGCTTCTCTCCTTGATTAGTTTCTATCCCTTGTCTTGCCTTCTGGTGCTTTAGAAAATAGGTTGATCTCCTCTTCTTTTCTCTCATGGTTCTCTCAAAATAGCTGATGGATGGAGGGCAATTCCTGGGGCCAGATCATGCAGGGAATAAATGGGAGGACCTTGATGGAGAGAGGGGATGCTGTACCAAGGAACAAGCAGATAAAAATTGCAGAGGCCCATAATAGGGATATGCAAACACCTCAGGCTACCCCCTCCAAATTTACATGAAAGATAAGAGAGAGAAGCACATTCAGACTTGCAAGATTCTTTTACTACTAATTTTAGGCACAGACATAGTACCTGTTTCTTGATCTGGTCTACTTTGTAGGACAGACATTATAAATTTCTTGGTCCTTATATGAGATTAACTGCCACCTGGGATCTCCCATTGATGAGCACACAGATGATGAATGTTACATCCAATGTACTTTATGATTCCTGATGGTTTTCAGCAAAGACTGGGGAATTTCCCCAACAACTGGCAGACAGGACCAATGATTGCTCGAATAACTGCTGGTAGTTACTGACTCTTGGAAACATCAAACACTAGTGTTGTAGGTCTGATTTGGCTATTGATAAGTTTTCAGGTGCAATTCAAAGTTGTTGTGGCCCACCAGTGACCAGCAGAGCTGGCAGCAGATTCGGACAGTGAGGAGGTTGGGGAGGAACATGGGCCAGTCCTGGAGTCTGAAGACTCTGTGTCGGATGCAGAGATGTGGCCAGGGCAGTCTGACAGTATCAGTTGCCTTTGGAGTCAGACATCAGTGAGGCAGACGAACAGCTGGAGCCTGTTCCCAGGGTGCACATGTGCAGAGTTGCCAGATGAAGGGAACAGTTGAGGAACAAGGGTCGACTTGGGAGTAAGGCTACTAGTGGACGATGAATGGCCCCTCCCATAGGGAATAAAAGAGGAGCAAATGGAGAGGGGGGTTTGCAGGAGACAATTAGTTCGCTTAATTGGTTCGTGACCCTGAGAATCCTTGCCAAGTTTTGAAGATATCGGCCTGGCAGCTCTCCAAGCCTTATGGTCGGGGGTGAAATCCTACCAGTTCGGGCGAATCGCTAGGAATTATGGGCATCAGTTCGCCGAACTGGTAGTAATTACCCCTCCTTGGCCTCACCCACGCCCAGCCGGTCATTGCTCACCTCTTCCGGCCACTCGATATTCCACAGAATTCAATGTTAAATGCAGCAGAGAATGCTAACTTTTCTCCCTCCATTCAGAACGGAGCTGCCGCAGCCTGTCCCTTTAAGGTAGTCCCCAGGAGGGAGGGGGCCAGGAGGGAACCATAAAGGGAGCAGCAGCTCCATTCTGAATGGAGGGAGAAAAGTTAGCATTCTCTCTGCCACAGAATTTAATGTAAAATGCAGCAGAGAGAATGCTAACTTTTCTCCCTCCATTCACAACGGAGCTGCTGCAGCCTGTCCCTTTTAAGGTAGTCCCCAGGAGGGAGGGGGACAGGGGGGAGCAGCTGGAATGGAGCCATTTTTTGTGAAAGGCCGGAAAATGGGGAAGGGGATTTTCCTGCCTGTCATCCATTCCTCAATCTCAGCACAGGCTGAGGGAAGGATGGTAGGCAGGAATATTCCCCTTCCCATTTTCCTGCCATTCGCGACAAGAAGTGGCTGAGAGGGGAGGGGCCACTGAGGAGCCCCTCGATGTAAGTGATGTCGAGTTGGCCATGCCCAGTCACATGACCTTCCCCCAACAAGCCACGCCCACAGAACCGGTAGGGGAAATTTTTTAATTTCACCCCTGCTTATGGTCTGTGACTGTAAATGCTCTCTTGAAAGACTTCGTTGGATGTGAATGTGAGAAACTCACAGTAACTTAATAAAAAGGGGTTTTTGTTGGCACAGGGAGTTTGCGTCGTGGTTTGGGAACGCCTAGGTCAGAACAAAAGTGCTGGTTTTGTCAGGCTCCAAAAACCAAGAAAGATACGCTGAGGTTCTTCTAAGTAGTTTCCTTTATTGTGCTTCACCTATAGGCAGAAATCTTGCCAAACTAATGCAAATGACTTCCACCATAAAACATATTCTCTGAGAACTCCTAGGGAGGAGCTGTCTTTATCCTCTTTCTCTCACACAAACCATCTAAACTTTGCTGGGTTTTTTTGCTCCTCTGGAATGCTCTTCTTCCCTCCTGGGAATCCAGATTAAATTCCACCATAGGTTTCGATTTACAAAACTGTAAATGGCTCAGCACCTAAATGCACACAGATCATCATCTCCTAACTGAATCATTCCAACCTTAATGATTATTCCAGGAAAGGCTACGGATTCCTCCTCGCTTCCAATGAGAGAAGATGAAACTAGGAGGTGCTTTCTCATTTCCAGTTCTATGGAACAGGCTCCCCTCACAAATTAAATTGGTATCTTCGTTAATGCCTTTCCAGAAGACGACAACAAACACTTTTCCGAAGGGCCTTTGGTGATGATTCTTTTGCCATCATTTTTACTACTATGGTTGTTTTTGGACTGGCCGCTAATTTTCTGACAATGATTGTAATTATGTTTTGATTTAATTCTCTTAATGAGTTTATTTACCATGGATGCTTTAATTATATTTGTAATGTGCATGTTTTAATTATTAGTTCTAAACCACCATGAATCCTTGACAGATTCAGCACGTTAGCTGTAATAACGAAACAACAACAAAAAAACCAGCAAACCACAAAAATGCAAATATATTGCCGTTCGCAGTTAAAAGGAAAAACTATCACAAGGTTACCAAAGGGAATGGTTTTTGTTTTGAAAGCTACAAAAGACTTAGATTTCAGGGCAATCTGAAGTGCCACAAAAAGATGTTATTTTCCCAGCTTTGAAAAGTTAGCCATTAAAAATAATTAATGGGTAATTTCTGTACATTTATAGCTTTCTAAATGCAGGTACTATTATGTCTTTTATTTCCACCTTTTTTCCCCCCCAACAAACCACCTGCCAACCAGAGTCACTTTTTTGATTGCATGGATATTTTCTTTCATTCAATTTAGGCCAGGGTTGTTTTTTTTTTTTTTTGCCCAGATATTGGCAAAGTTCTAAGGTTGATTCGGGAGGACAGAGCGAGCCTGATCTAATAGCAGGGCAGGTTTAAATCATTATTGCCTTGTATATTAGAGACTCGTGGATCTCATTATGTGCAATCTATCGGGAAAGATGAGTCTGCAATTCAGAAGAAATTGAGCTGCCCAGACGAGGCGTAGTAGCCCGAGTGGTCAGTGGAGAATCGTTGTGAGAGGTAGACGGAATTCAGCTGCACTTCTCCAAATTCGAAGTTCTCAAAGAGCTGAAAGAGAGGAGAGAGGACTCATGAAATTATAAACCTCAAAAGAAAAAACAATTGCGACCAACCTGCCTTCCATTGAGGACCTGTATACTGCATGAGTCAAAAAGAGGGCTGTGAAAATATTTACAAACCCCTCGCAATTGTTTCAACTCCTACCCTCAAAACGACACTATAGAGCACTGCACACCGGAACAACACAAGACACAAGGACAGTTTTTTCCTGAATGCCATCACTCTGCTAAACAAATAATCCCCTCAACACTGTCAAACTATTTACTAAATCTGCACTACTATTAATCTTCTCATCGTTCCCATCACCCATCTCCTTCCACTTATGACTGTATGACTGTAACTTTGTTGCTTGTATCTTTTCGATTTATATTGATATTGATTGTTTCCTGATTGCTTATTTGTACCCTATGACTATCATTAAGTGTTGTACCTTATGATTCTTGATGAACGTATCTTGTCTTTTATGTATACTGAGAGTGTATACACCAAGAAAAATTCCTTGTGTGTCCAATCACACTTGGCCAATAAAGAATTCTGTTCTGTTCTGTTCTGTTCTGTTCTGTTCTGTTCTGTTCTATTCTATTCTATTCTATTCTATTCTATTCTATTCTATTCTATTCAAGAGTACACTCGGTATGTGTGTGTTTGTGATCCTTGTAAACCATCTTCCAACACATAATTGATACACGTTCCATGATTTTCTTTTCCCCTTTCCTTCCCCTGTCCCAGATTGAAAAAACTTGTAAACATGTTTTTTTTTAACTTATCAGGATATATTTTTTTTAACCCAACAGGAAGGGAGTTTCTGAAACTGCAGAGTACCAACAATATTTTTGCTCCATTTGATCTATGGCAGGAAGAGGGCAAACCCAGCCTCTTGGCTGACATTTTTTAACCTACTTTACATTGCCAAAAATTCATTTTGAAAAGGTGCAGAAAGGAAGGCTAAACAGCTAGAAGATATGTGGTTTTCTCTATGACAGTCTCTACAGGCAGTTGGGTCCATCACCTCATGTTTTCATAGCTAAAGGTAAAGGTAAAGGTTCCCCTCGCACATAAGTGCTGGTCATTCCTGACTCTAGGGGGCGGTGCTCATCTCCGTTTCAAAGCTGAAGAGCCAGCACTTCCAAAGACGTCTCCATGGTCATGTGGCCGGCATGGCTCAACGCCAAAGGCGCACGGAACACTGTTACCTTCCCACCAAAGGTGGTCCCTATTTTTCTACTTGCCTTTTTTACGTGCTTTCGAACTGTTAGGTTGGCAGAAGCTGGGACAAGTAATGGGAGCTCACCGCTTTACACGGCACTAGGGATTCGAACCTCTGAACTGCCGACCTTTCGATCGACAAGCTCAGCATCTTAGCCACTGAGCCACCGCATCCCATTTTCATAGCTAGTCAGGCTCTAATATAAAGTTACTAATATACATTTACAAGTGATTGATGAGGAAGAATTTGAGAAGAACAAATAATGAGATTATGAATAAATATTTGTATATATATATGTATGTATCTCTCTTTGGGCACACACGTGTGTTTATACATGCACAGGCATACACTCAATTTGATTCTTCTTTGAGAATATCAAAGGAATTACATGCAATATCTAAAGACAAAAACAATAATCCTTTCCTTGTTAGAAACTTCGTAATTTTTTCCCCTTATGAGTAACAGAGTTGGAAGGAACATTGGAGGTCTTTTAGTCATGTGGCACTCGGGTCTCGAACCTGGGCTGCTGGCTTTCCAGCTGACAAGCCTAGCGTTTTAACCGCTGAGCCATTGTGCACCCCACAACTTCTGGAGGCATGAATAAATCTGCAAGGAGCATTTAGTATTGCTGCCAGGAGCTACATGTAATAGTATCTGGCTTATGGCCCATCAGTTAATCATCTCTGTTTTTGACATTTGACATTTCTTGTTTACACAACCCTTTGGAAGACATAAAAAGAAAAGTAATAATCGTTATCAGCTCCCCAAACCAACATGCTGCTTTTCTTAAAAGTCCCTTTCTACTGAAATATGATTGCAGCTCTTCATCACACAAGAGAAGTTTAATTACTGCTTCCACCGATTACACAAAGAAGGCCTGCACATCAAAGAAGATAGGGCTTTGGCACCCAAGCTCCAACAATAAACCTTTAATTTGCTTAGTCAAGACCGAGTAGGTGTTTTTGCAATGGGGGAGGAGGGTAATGAGGCAAGGAGAGAAATTTCTAATTTATGTAGATTACTAATCTGCAATTAGTGTATCCACCTCTATCCATCTATGGCCAGTTTGTCCAAGTCAGAATAATGAAATGAGAAACACGATGCTCTTCTTCCAAAATACCAGCAATAGAGCTGTTCAAGGGCATTTGCACGCTCACGTATGTTCAGTTCAGGAGAAAGCTGCTTCAGCATATATATATATATATATATATATATCTATGAATACATTATTGTAGGAACTCAGTAGTTATTGCTGTGAAGAACCATCGCATTCAAGTGGTTTTCTTCGTTCCATTAGAGAAGCAGGAAATTGCTCTGCCTTAAAATGAAAGTAACTCTTTTAGAAAATCTTTGAACAACTGCATTAATTTCAAACTCAGCTGAATGTTGCTGTGCCAAGGGTCAACAAAGGCTGAATAATCTAGTTCCCCCATTAAGACAAGCTTAAAAATCCATACTCCATCTGAGTACTTCTGCATTTTTTACATCTGTCCCCCCAGCCCTTAGTTCAAAATGGGTTCTAGCCAACTCTTCTTGCCATTAAGTTTAAAGTCATCCCAGTGGCTTTGAAAAAGTCTAGAGTTTCATTACACTCTATCCATATTTACCGTATTTTTTGGAGTATAAGATGCTCCGGAGTATAAGATGCACATTAGTTTTTGGGGAGGAAAACCAGAAAAAAAAAATTTCTGCCTCTGCCTACCAGCATCCATTGGTATTCATCTGGCTAGAGTCCTTGCAGCAAACAGCAAACAGCCTGGTCAGCTTCAGCATGTTATCGCAGCCTGATTTAGCACGAACAGCTGATTGGCGGTTGGATCGGCCAACCGGAATACAACTAATCAGCTGTTTCAGGCTGTGGGGATCGCTACAGCACATTGCCGCCTCTGCATGCCCCATTTTTGGCCTCCGTGCATCGTATTTTTGGCTGGTTCCAGGTGGCGGAGAGTGACGGCAGTGGCAATGTGCGGAGGCCGAAAACACGACACAAGAGGCGGCGATTGGCGGGGATGTACTGTGGTGATTCCCGCAGCCTGGAACAGGTCTAAAACGGGGCATACGGAGGTAGAAAATGTGACGTGTGGAGGCCAAAAATGGCTGAAGGGTGGGGACCCGCAGGTGAGAGGGGCTTTGGCAACATTTGGTGTATAAGACACACCACAATTTTCACCCACTTTTTTTTGGGGGGGTGCATCTTATACGCCAAAAAGTACAGTAGTTAACAACCCACAGATTGTCTACTGAAGTAATGTATAGGCAAAGGTCTCCCTGTCCAGTCATATCTGACTTGACGAGGTGGTCTCATCTCTATTTCTTGGCCAAGGGAGCCAACATTGTCCAAAGACATTTTCTGTGGTCATGTGGCCAGCATGGCTATATGCCAAAGGTTCACAGAATGCTGTTATCTTTCCACCAAAGTGGTACCTATTTATATACTTGCATTTGCATGCTTTCGAACTGGTAGGTGGGCAGGAGCTGGGACACGAATGGGAGCTCACCGTGTTGTGTGGCTCTCAGGCCTCAATCCCGGGCTGTCAGCTTTCCAACTGACAAGATCAGTGCTGAAATTCAAATATCTGTTAATCTATTTCCAGAAAAATACTGAGTTCTCCCCAGCACTGATGATCTTAAATGGCTTTTTAGTGGTTTCCGGCTGTTTATTTTATGTATTACTAATATGACCCGTTTAGTTGCATGCAAAAATGTAAGCACCACTGATCAAGCTGTATGCCCACATGAATCCTCCAAGCGAATAGATGCAGAGACAAACTTCATGTGATACAAAGTTAAGCAGGTATCTTTTTGCTCATCTCAATGGTATTTGCTAATTACATGTGGTTGTTTTCAGATTAAAAATAAGCCAACAGTGAATGTAGCAGGGACAGAAGTTTGATAGCCCTTCCAGGTGATTCAGCTTTATTTTGAAAGCTCTGAAGAGATCAATAATGCTGAAAACGCGATCGAATTGTGAGACCTACAAAGGAATCAAAGCAATTCCACAAGTGAACCAATACTGCAACCCCTCACTAACTTCTCAGGTCTACCTACTTTGAACAACACGAGCTCCTCAAAGTAGTTGTCTGAGCAACTGAAAATTAAGATCATTCACTCTTACAAAGCAGGGCTATTTAAAAAACCCTCTAGATATCTTCAAGTAGCAATTTCAACTGTGAGAAATGCTGTTAAATAATGGAACTTAAGTGCATTTGTTGAAGTCAGGGCAAATGCTGCTCCCCTACAAAGCGACCTTGACTATGTGTCAGAATGGTCAAACAATTGGCAACTCCAAATCTCAACCAACAAATGCTCCGTCTTACACACTGGAAAAAAATATATATCAGACCATCAAATACAAGCTGGGTGGATACGACCTCATAGACGACCCCTCACTCTGTCAAGGACCTTGGAGTACTCCTCTCAAATGATCTAAGTGCCAGAACTCACTGTTAACAGCATTGCCAAAAAGGCATTAAGAGTTGTAAACATAATCTTGCGAAACTTCTTCTCCAGTAACATTGTACTGCAAACTAGGGCATTCAAAACCTTTGCTAGACCAATTCTTGAATACAGCTCGTCTGTCTGGAATCCACACTGTATATCAGACATTAATACAATTGAGCGAGTCCAGAGGTATTTCACGAGAAGAGTCCTCCACTCCTCTACTCGCAACAAAATACCTTATGCCGCCAGGCTTGAAATTTTAGGCTTGGACAGCCTAGAACTACGCTGCCTATGGCCCGACCTAAGCGTAGTACACAAAAGTATCTGCTACAATGTACTA